AGTTCCAGCCCCTGGCGTTCATGGTGCTCAGGCCCTAATAACTTCTATTGGTTTTGTAAGGTTTAGTTTGGCCATGCCATATCGTTATATTTCATTTTAATCAGATCGACGTCATATCAGCTCAGTCTAATTTAAAGACCTTTGTGATGTTAAATTGCGAAGCTTTTGGGTTTTCCTTTAACGCCCTGCCTTTGGCGCCGCAATGAATTTTAATGTTTCACCATGAAAAATGAACTTGTTATAAGTCCAGAACACATCATTCAAACTGCCCCAAACTTTATATGTTTGATAAGAGTCCTGGCCTGAACAAATCTAAATAGCAATATTCAGTAATAAATATAGTGCACCACCTGATGGTGACAGGAAATGTCATGTTTTACAATTTGATGTATTTAAGATTATTTTTTGTTTATTTGTATTGTTTTGTGTTGTTTCTTGGGTCAGTTGCTTTCAGTTTTGCTTTCTTTTTATCATGTCTTCTTCGTCACACACCATGGTCGACATTGTTTGTTAGGGGTAAATAGTTATTTGTATTGTGTATGTTATTGTTGAGCTGTTTTTAGCACTGGAAGTATTTATGTAGTAAATAGTCTGTAAATATGATTGTATTTGTAAAATTCATGGTGCACTCCTTTGGACATATGAAAAGTGATGGAAGTAGATTTGTGAAGAAACTCTGCCTTCTGTCACACACAGTTTGTCCGTTCTGTAAAGTTGAGGCGAAGGGAGGGGTTTCAGGAGGGGTTAGAGCCGATAAGTTTGTGGTTTGTAGCATTGTCACCTTTAGCACTGAACTCACAGTACCTGATTTTAAAATCCCTACATGAACTTTCTGCTCACTGTTTTAAATCTCAGCTCCAAACTAAGCACCAAGCTGAACACACAGATAAGTGGGAGGATGTACGGGACAGTGTTGGTGTGTTGAGAGGCTGAGGGCCAGATCTGAAAGGAGGTGATGATACTGTGTGGCTTAGAGATAACTGTAGCACATCTGGACACCTCTGTTCTCTTCATCTCTTCATCTGGTAAAAACTCCTCACTGTTTGAGACGGCGTTTATCACCTTATCCACCTTCTGTCTATCTGTGTGTGTGTGTGTGTGTGTGTGAGTGTGTGTGTGTGTGTGTGTGAGTGTGTGTGTGTTACATTTCACCACCTGTCATCCTTCGATGACCTTGACTCACTTACAAACATCGAATTTTTTTTTTCGGAACTCTTCGTGTGTCTGGTAAATCTGTGGCAGGTAGCGTATCCATGGAAACAATTATATATAGCAGCTGACAGAATGCTCTGAGCTGAACTACACATGTGCAATGGTGACAATCATTAGTTACATCCCAACAGTGTTTCAGTCACCCAGTCAGAGATGTGGGAGATACCAACAGTCCCATTTAACAATGTGGTCTTTAACAAATACACAATCTAACCCACACATGTATTTCATCCATCAGGATCCATTGTGTCTCACCCCTCTCTATGGCAGCAGACATCCACCCCACCTCTGGCTGTGGTTCACATGTTGTAGTGCAGCATTTGAAGCCTGAGGCCTTGACTCTACTAACTTGTATGGTGCCACCCAATATTACTAAGTCATACCATCCACTCACACACTGTGTACACAGTTAGCTGCTTGAACGTCCATATAACGACATGGATGGACATGATCTCTGCAGCTGGTTAATTACAGTAAATCCTCTGTTGGAGGAACAGCAAAGACAGCTGTAGCATTAAAATAGAGAATGTAAGTGAACAACAGCTGCTAGCAAAGACAACAAGGTCAGTAACACTGTAATTCATTATCATGTTTTATACAACAGTTCCGATCAAGTAATGTGATTGGACGAGAGGCATGCCATGAGTGCTGATGTAGAGTACAACAGCACAGGGACTTTTAACTATGTATCACTTGGATTTACAGGTGTTCTATTAACCAATAATCAGTGTCACATTAATGGTCGTTATGTCTCTTAGATTGTAACAAACTTTGCAAAGATGAAAATATTTCCAGAAATAACATTTGAATCAAATGATGTCTGGTCGTCAGAGGATGAAGGGAAGAAGCCTGGATACTTCAGCTCACACCTGAGGTAACGTGTAGATAAAGTAGCAAGCTAGTGTGCAGGTCAGGAAAATGTTTATGTGTTGCTTAGCAACAGTCCAGTACCAGTCCAATTTCGGAACTTTTTGCGTTGGCGTCGTCAAATAAACGATAAACAAACAAATCATAATCTGTTTAACTTATTTAACTACTATGGCGGTCCTAGCAAGGCTGTGATTACATCATGACCTCAAGTGTGATATTGCCTAAGTATTCACCACTGGTAGTCGAGGATGATTGGAGCCAATCAGGAGAGACCGTGGGTGTCTACGTCATTGTTTCCAAAGGTCTCAGTTTCTGTCTGTCCAGAATACAACACAAGCCCAGAGTTTTCAAAATGAAACACAACCGCAGAGTTTTCGAGATAAAACACAAGCCCAGAGTTTTAAAAAATAAAACAACTCCAAAGTTTTCAAAATAAAACACAACCCCAGAGTTTTCAAGATAAAACGGGGTCAGCAGCGTTTGCAAAAGTCTCTGTTTTCAGGGCTCGAAAATTCGTGTGGACGGAGGAGGAAACATAGCAAAAGAGATGCATTTTAAAATGTATATGTAGTAGGATGTAGCGTAGGACGGAGTGTGGATGTAGCCTCAGGGTGCTGCACTGGATGGAACCAATGAGTGAGCTGAGCTGGCTGCAGTTATTTGGTTGGGGGATACCTGGGTCCTGTCTTGCCGTCTGGTAACTTCACCCCTGATCACCTTTCCACTCTTTGCCACCTTTGTTGGTGAGCTGGGGGTGTCGCACCCAGACGTTCAGTATCTCCATGCTGCTTCGTAGTGTTCCCATTGTGTTGGAGCCTGCTCATCTCCAGCTTCAATAGTACGTTTCTCTACTGACCATCTTGTGCAGACACATATGCCAAAGAATGATGACTACAGCACCTGACTGCTCTCAGTCAGATGGTGGACTTGGTGCTTGTCTGTGGAGGGGCTTTTTAGTTCTGGTTAATGTTAATAATTGTTTTGCATTTTGATTTAAATACTTCTGTTGTCTCCAGGTTATTTTTTATCTCTGCTACTGTCCCCATATGACATGCACTGTGTATGAGTTGTGTGTAGAGTTTTGTTTATTTGCTGTAAAAATACATGTGTAGGATCAACACAATATTATCCCACTAAGTCAAGCAAAAACACTTATTGATTAGTTTTGATTATTGATTAGTGATTGATAAGCTGAGTGCAGCCTCTTGCATTATGTTGCCTGTGATAATGAAACACATCGTGTTAGTGGGCCCCTACTCTGTGGTCTGAGAGATACTCAGTACTGGAGGTTCACAGCAACAACCAGCAGATCTTGTCTTCATCAGAACAGCTGAGCTCAAACTATTTGTCTGAAATGTTTATTTATGTGTCGTGTTCATTTACACTTCTGCTACTAGCTTCTTCTTAATCCCAGTACCATTTGTAGATGAATCATGTGTCAGCTGAGGCCTCGGCTCTCAGGACACATCCAGTAACATCAGAGCAGAGGAAAACTTTAAAGCTCACACACAAATGTCTGACAATTCTGTCTGACTGTGAAAGTAGAGTTTAGATTTTAAATTAGTAAGATTAGCTTTAACTTTATTGATTTAACAATAGTTTAACAAAGTTAAATTATTAAAAAATAAGTTAAATACTAAGTCAAAGTTGAATGTTTAAAGTTGTAATCAAAAGTAATCAAATGTAATCCATTACTTTGATGATGTATTTAGTAATCTGTCACCTATTACACTTCAGAGTTTCCTACCCATCACTGCTGAAAACAGCTTGTTAATGAGAGTAAACAACATGACAGTCTGAGTGCTGAGTTGGTGTGCAGAGTGCGAAGTGTAGATTATAAGATATCTGATCCATTGCGTGATGGGTCTGTCCTCTCATGTCTCTCTCAGAGGGAAAGTGAATGAGGATTTTATTGTTGAATTCTTCCTTTAACATCATCAGTGTCAGGAAGCAGCTCAGCTCAGCAACCACCACTGACGTCACTACCAGCAGCAGACTGTGACTGGGTTTACTGGCCTCTATGGATCACATCACTGTCCAGAACAATTCTATGAAGTAATACACAATATCAGTTACATCATTCCTGTCCTGTGTGATATTAGTTTGAGGACTTACACCTCAGCTCCTCTCTGTCACCAGGATGACCCTGCTGCTTTCTTCTGTTTCAGTTGCCAAAATATTTCACCCCCTAATCCAGGGACCTTTAATTGATGTGTGTGATCTTATGCTAAATATGAAGATTTGAATAAATTCCACTTTCAAGCAGCACAATGGGCTGCTCTGCAGTGACAGGCCACCTCCTTGTTGCCCTGAATAGAAGTGTTTGGCTGCTGGAAGCCCCTCACCTCCTCACCCAACTGAAGCTTTGACATCTCCTGGGGTCCATGTGCTTCATGACCCTCTGTGCTTGTCTACCAGGTTTTCAAGTCCTTTCAATCACTTAAAAACCATTGTCCCAGAACAAAGAACACATGGAAGATCCTGTTAGAAATATTGTTTGTCAATCAGTTCTCATATCTACAACTTCATTTCTATAAATAACAACATTTACAGCAGTTTACAGGTTCATGGACTGTACAGAGTGCGGCACTGCTCATGTGCTGTGTCTCTCCAGCAAAATAAAGACACTTTACTATTCTTCAAGCTTCATCCAATATGTGGCTAACATTTGAAGTTTGCCCCGAGAGCAGCACATGAACATTCCCGTGAAAAGGTTCATCCTCTGGGGACAATGTGAGGGCAGTTTGTGTGTTGGGGGATGAGCTCCCTTGTGATCATTGTTAACATTTTGGTGTCATTAAAGGAAAGCTCATCCGGTCATAAGAATGATCAAACATCGGTGTGATGAATATTCAGTGCAGGTTTCATGGTGAGCTGACCACTGGTTGTTTGAAGAAGCCTTCTCTCTGTGTTTGCAGGTGATGAGCATCCTCAGTAACCCCAGCGGTGTTTCCTCACAGCCGCAACACGACTTCTCCATTTCACCGCTCCACAGCGCCTTGGACTCCTCTCCATCCAACGCCATCTCAGCCAGCTGCAGCCACCGTTCAGCTGACGCCTCCATCAAGACGGTGGACAGCCTCCCTTCATCCCAGTCCTACTGTCCCCCCACATACAGCACCACCAGCTACAGCATGGACTCAGCTGTGGCAGCTGCCGGCTACCAGTACAGCCAGTACGGCCAGAGTGAGTCCTGCTAGACCAGACTAACCAAGAGCAACATTTAATTCTAACATTTCTGTGTTCTTCTCTGTCACTTACTGAGACAGCTCAGTTAAATCACTGCATAAACGACTCAGGGTTAAAAAGAATCCACATTCATCTACAAATATCATATTCTTATGTGCATTCTACCCCACACACTGCATCTGCAAACTCAATGAGAACTGCAGTACACACTTTGACAAAGCCCTGCTCCCAGCAGATCTGGCCCTCAGTGTCTAGAGCCACACAATGAGGAAAGACTGACTGCTACAACAGCTGTGCTGAATAGTTTAGGGCCAGTTTTATAAATACATTCTTTGTAGAAACAAAAGCTGAAACTGTGACCTGGAATTCAAAGGAAAAAACATTTAGTTTTAATAGATATTATTGTCATCATTTTGACCAACACACCTGCCGATCAGCGTCACAGATGTATTCAGGAGAGTACACATTGTTTTCCAACATGGCCCCCCATTCGTTCCTGTGAAAGTTTCTCACTGGGCACAAACGCCAATACCGGTTTCAAGACTTGGCTGTTTTTGAGCCAGAGCGAGCATATCAGGGACTTCCTTCTGCTGGCTCCCACACACATTAATTAATACTGATATGGCTCACTTTACTAGCCCAAATCAATCAATTATTGATAATAGAAAGAGTGATTTTGCAGTGTATGTGAGGAAAATGTTTTGCAGCCTTTTTCTTTCTTGTTGAGTATGAGAAAATCTTGGGCCAGTGTGCAGTTCTGACTAAAGACACTACTGTAGACCAGAAGCATGTCCCAGTCCAGCTCTGCTCCTGAGGACCTGTGCTGCACACCTCCATTATTTCAGAGATGATGCTGAAACAGTTTTTCAGTGAACCACTTTTACAGTGAAACAGGTTTAAAGTGAAAGTTTTACAGTGAAGGTTTTACAGTGAAACAGTATCACTGTCACTAACTCCCATCCTGTGTATTTTAAAATCTTGCTTTCTACAGTACGTGAGCGTTGAATGTTGAATGTTGGCGCAGGATGAAAAAGTGAGGTGGAGAACGCAGCTACAGCCTCAAGGATAATTAAAGGATAGTTCAGGTTCACTGAGTCTTTAATGTCAGTGTGTGATAACACTGTCCTCTGATCAAAGTAATGACTCTGATCAGAGGACATCTGGACCTGAAACTGACTCAGCATAAATAAATTGATAATCAATATGGTCAGTGACATCACATTAATAGTACTCAGGTTATGAACTAAAAACATTTGTATAAGAAAACGATGCTGTGATGTGAAGTTTGTGGCTTGCCCCCACCCCCCCTTCCAGACAGATTTACCAGTTTACTTGAGACATTTGACTCCTCTCTTGTTCTAATTCAGGAAGCTCCTGACAGATTAAAGTACACACTGTCAAAGTAGCTGAGGTGTGTGTGTGTGAGTGTGTGCGCACCTGTGTTTGTACATGTGTGCACACGTTTGAATGTGCGTTATCAGATGAGCTCTATCTTGGAGGCAGAGGACTCTCAGTGTGACTGCTCAACAGGGATTTAAGGTATAAACCTGGCTGACAGGAAAAACAGCTTCCTTTAGAGGCCTCACTAAACCCTCGTGAGACACAAACACACACACACACTCTGCTCCCCCACCAGCTGTCTGGGTGACTGGCACCTTGGCAGACAGACCTGCCCACCCATAGGTGCTCCTCTTTCTCTCAGTCCTCAGCACAGAGTGACAGCTTCCTTTCTGTGCACGCTAGCATCCTAACTGACAGGCCTTACTTATCACCCCCAATAGCCTGAACACACACACGCGCGCACACACACACACACACACACACACACACACCATGTCACCTCACATCTGCTGTCAGCCCTCCTCTCTGCTGCCCTATAAAAGAGAAGTTATCACCAGCTAAACCAGGGAGGGGCAACGCTCTCAACTGCGAGGGAGAAATGTGCTAAGCATTAGTGCCAGCTTTCCAAGAACCCCAGTTATTCCGGTGACTTCCTGTCTGTCTGCCTGTCTGTCTGTGGAGGCAGAACTGCTGGCTGCTTTTGTCTGTCTGTCAGACACAGTGTCCTCCTGTCAGTCAGTGTGACTGAACAACAAACAGTTCTTCAACAATACGTTAATGTTAGAGACGTGGTGATATTTCCTCCTGTCATCAAAGCAGCAATAAAAGAAGCCCATTGACCAGCACTGTGATCACAGCCTGATGCATCAGCTGCACTTTGCTTCACAAACTGTTAACACACATCAGTGAGACACACTGTTCCTATATCACCACAAACACACACTGAAGTTCATTTAGTCTCACACACACTCTGCTGACAGAAATCACCAGAGCAACCAAGTCTACAAGAAACTATGGAAGGGAGTGCTGCATTCATGTAGGGAGGTGTCCAGGTGGAATGGCTGCCACACACAGCATTTCACCTCTTCACCCCTGTCCAGTTACTCATGTTGCTTTCCCCATGTTCCTTATAATTTATTATTTATATGTGCATTGATTATTGATAGTTAAAATCGTTGACAGCACTGAAACAAATTATGAATACTTGTAATGCTAACACCAGGATTTACTCTTGTTTTCTTCTTTTCTTTGCCGTTGAACGTGGTTTCTTGTTGGAGCGGTTCTTCGGGATGGAGATAAAGAACGCATTCTAGACGTTTCAGCTATCTCTGCGTTTCTGTGATGCTAGTCGGCAGCTTTTTATTTTTATTAGTCGGGAGTTGTAGAGTTACATCAAGCTCTGGAGGAAGCTCTTCTTCTTCGTGGGACTGAGGGCAGACTAGACGCTACACTGACTCACACAGCATCTAGTGTCATAAAGTGGTATGACAACATGGGGACGGACTCAGCTAGTTGGTTAGCATCCTCATTTCACTAGATTTCTTTGAAATACAATAGATGAAGGTTTTGGTCATGACATCATCACTGTGGCTCCATCACATACTGTTGATGGTGTTAGTTCATTTTTTCAACATTTTAAACTAAAATTCTGGCCAGATCTTACACATTACACCTTTAAAGTCATAGTTCAGGTAAATAGACATGGGGTTGTGTGAGGCTCTGATCTATGTCAGTGTGTTACCTGCAGTAGATTCAGATAAGCTGCTGCTGCTGTGGACGAGGACACCAACAAAAACCTGCTTTAGCCACTTTACATAATGTCCAGAAAAAAAAGCTAATATCAGTCAAATAGTCGCTTTATGTTGAATATTTTCAACAGTTGATCCTGCTCTGTCGTTTGGAACTAAATTTTCTCAGCCGTCGAATTACTGTATTCCTACACACAAGTGCACCTACGCAGCACACTGTATTACACTGCAGATCAGCTGTTTGAGTCAGACAGGGATAATTCTATGTAGCTAAAACAGGTCTTATCACACCTGAACTATCCCTTTGAGGGGGAGGGATGACCTACTCTAACACCTTATGTGTTGAATTCTGTACACCTTGTATTTACTCAGTCTGCTGCTTGGAGGGCATCTATTTGCAGTGAAACTAAAATGAAAAACAAAATGGAAGTTTCAGTATTTTGACTCTTAAATCATTTTGATTTGACCAGAGTGAATAAAAGTCTCAGTCTCATAACCAGATCTGGATTAACTGTGCTCCTCCTCCTCCCCTCCAGCTGCTGTGGATTACCTGGCGAAGAACGTCAGCCTGTCCAGTCAGCGCAGGGTGAAACTGGCTGACCACTCAGCTGTACTGGGACTGCTGCAGGTCGAGACGGGCCAGGCCTACTAACACTCACCTGACACGTCCAACAACATGACACCTGGTCACCAGCACAAGCCGCACCTCCTACTACCATCCACACAAATCTCCCAGTAGGCGTGTGTGTGTGTGTGTGTGTGTGTGTGTGTGTGTGTGTGTGTGTGTGTGTGTGTGTGTGTGTGTGTGTGTGTGTGTGTGTGTGTGTGTGACGGGGCTGATATTTAGCTTTTTTATACTTTGTGTTATTGTTTCTCCAGAGTTTAAGGTTTGAATGAAGCAGCTTTAAACATTCCTCACAGGACCAAACGAACCCACAGCGAGGATCCACTGTCCCACTGAGGAGTTTATAACCACAGAGAGGCACCATGTGACCTTCAGCCTCACAGTGTCACCTCACACAACCTGGGACGGGTGTTTGTTATCAAGTGATGTCCTCACTGTATCGCAAAATGCTTTTTCCATGTGAGAATGACTCACAGGTGACTTCAGGTTGTTTTCTAAAATGTCTGTGTCCAAACAGCTGATCAACAGTTACAGCTGCGCTCCTCCTCCGCCTCTGTGGGTTGGTGTGTTCAGAGTGAACGATGAGCACGTTACTCGATGTGAAACAGTTTTATCTTATCCAGATGTGTTTTTTTCTGGGTGCACATCTGTTTGTGTCCATTGTGTTGTCACAGTCAGTCTGAACACCTGAAGGAAACACAGTCTCCAACACTCATGACCGCTACCTCAGACTCAACATCACAGCTGGGTGGTGACAAGCTAAACCACTGGAGGTCAGCAACAACAGCAGCACTGCTGAACACAAACAGACTGATCCACTTCACAGATACTGAGTATCAGCAACCAAACATTGGCAGCTTCAATAACAAGCGTCAGCCTTCAGGAATCTGTGCGTGTGTGTGTGTGTGTGTGTGTGTGTGTGCGTGTGAAGAGAGAAACACTGATGTGGACTAATTCATCCATTAAGAGCAGTGTTTATTGTTTGTCCCTCCCTCTGAGCTCCAGCAGCGGTTGGAGCAGCTGTCTCCACCTGTCTCCAGCCTGCTACCAGTCACTAAGTCCTTCTGTCTTCATTTCATTCTCTTGATTCTACTTCATTAACATCCTTACACATATCTATGGAAACAACCGTTGGGTGACACAACGACAAGCCAACATCAACCATCAGCCTGTAGATGAGACATCAGTTTGGTTTAGTTAGTGAATCTCCTACAGTCACTCTTTGATACCTACTAAATGATACATGTCTTCTAACATATCAGACAGAACGTCCACTGCAACACGTTTATCAGTGACTTCTTGCAATAATCTGCCCCTGACAACTGAAGTAGTATGAAGTGTGTTCCTCTCAGCTCACTGTTGAGCTGTGAGGAAAAAAAAATCAGGAGAGTGTATCAGTGATGAAATAAATTCTCAGATAATGTTACCTTTAATTACCTCAACAACAGAGAGACCCAGACTTTATTAATGATCTGCTCCTGTCTTCATTTGCTGTTCCCTTTTGATGTTCAGCTGCCATCTCGTTAAGTTCAGTTTAATATGCACACACTGCACAGTAAACATGCATCAGTACAGGTTTCTGTTTGCTGTGTCAGTAGATAAATATTTCAAATTAAAACCCTGTAGCAAAGAGCGCCACTCGCCTCTTTTATTGTGAAATATCTGCCGTAGTTTAACAGCAAAGAAAAAACAACTGAAAGTGTTTCTATCTGGCCTTATCTGAATTTATGTATTAGACGGTAAATGACTCATAATACAAACATTTTATCATTCAGAATGTATTCAGAGATAAATGATCGTTCTGACTTGTAATAAAGGAATTACAGGTTTTTGACGATGAAGCCATTTGCCACTTTGAATGGTTCCAGTGAGGATGTGTGGAGCAGTCAGACTCACTTTAATCAATGCACTGACCAAAGGGACGACTCCTCATCGCTCCAGTCCTCCTGAGCTCTGTCCACTGCAGGACGATAACTGGATCATTCCCCTCACATCATTCCACACATAAGAAACTGCACACGAACAATCAAACATGCCTTTGCTTTATAAGTCCTGTTTCTTTCTGTCACTTTTGTTCTGTATTTGATGCCGTTCCAGACAGATGCTCAGTGTTTGATCCTGGGCTCATGTGAAGATGATGACATTCCCATAGAAACCTATGATGAGGGCAGCCATCACGGCCTCACACGTTATCACACCATCCCTCTAAGAGCCATGGGACCTGTGTGGACGTTGGCTGTGTTAACCGTCTACCTTGTGTATATATATTTTTTCACTGATGACAAACCAAGGAGAACATTAAGGATCAAATGTACAGACGTGCTGATTGACCCCGCCCCTCCTGTTTACCTCTTGGTCCTTGCTCTGCTTGTTTTGTTCTGCTTTCTGTTGGCATGTGTGTAATATAATTTATTCTACCTGTATGAAGAATTAGACTAGTGAGAATTTTGTATTGGCATTTACTCCCTCAGCCTCTTGGTGTGTCACTGTAACACTGGCGTAACTGTCTGTTCATTAAAGCTCTACAACTGGACCAAGACACGGGCTGTTGCTGCTCTTCACTGACACTGAGCTCACTGCTGTCTGTGCAGTTCACTGATTCATGTCTGAGATAATGAAGCACCATGTTCAGTTTGTGCCACAGGGTGGAGGATGGATGGAGGTCGTCATCAGACTCTGTCTCCATTTTACTTCACATAGTTTTTTAAATATTTTCTAGAAACATGAAGGGTTGAAACAGATGATATGATAGATAACAGGTTTTTTACTGTCTGTGTCTCTGTCAAATACATTATTACAGCAAGTTCTCAGCTTCTACTGCTATTTTTATTGGTGTAATAATAATAATAATAATAATAATAACAATACCAATAACATAACAATAACAATCATAATAATAGCTGCAACCAGCAATTTGCAGGTTGAAGGCCTTTTGTGTGTATTGGAATCGAAATAGTAATTCACTATAGTATTCACTATCTGGAAAAGTAAAATTATTACTCTTTCCATATTGTTCATCAGGACAAAATTAACCTCTTTACTGTGAGTGCAATTCATCAGCAATCATAAAAATGAAAGACCATTGACTGGTTGTGACACTTAGAGTAAATTTTACACTGTGACTCACTGTATCAGTTCATCACTGAATCACACAATGAATAAGTACTGGTTTATTGTAGGCTGCTGCAAAATGCATGAAGAAGATTCCGAAAATAATAAGCAAGGCCACTCAGAGAGAGGCTTCTCAATGAACAAAGCCCACTTTCAAAATAAAAGCCCCATAAAATACTATACTGTGAGGCCAACCCTACTGGGGTATATTATACAGTGCATCCGGAAAGTATTCACACCCCTTCACTTTTTCCACATTTTGTTATGTTACAGCCTTATTCCAAAATGGATTAAATTCCTTTTTTTTCTCATCAATCTACACACAATACCCCATAATGACAAAGCGAAAAAGGTTTTTTAGAAATTTTTGCAAATTTATTAAAAATAAAAAAACTGAAATATCGCACGTACATAAGTATTCACAGCCTTTACTCAGTACTTTGTTGAGGCACCTTTGGCAGCGATTACAGCCTCAAGTCTTCTTGGGTATGAAGCTACAAGCTTGGCACACCTGTATGTGGGGTATTTTTCCCATTCTTCTCTGCAGATCCTCTCAAGCTCTGTCAGGTTAGATGGGGAGTGTCACTGCACAGCTATTTTCAGGTCTTTCCAGAGATGTTCAATCAGGTCCAAGTCTGGGCTCTGGCCGGGCCACTCAAGGACATTCACAGACTTGTCCCGAAGCCACTCCTTCGTTGTCTTGGCTGTGTGCTTAGGGTCGTGTCCTGTTGGAAGGTAAACCTTCGCCCCAGTCTGAGGTCCTAGCGCTCTCTGGAGCAGGTTTTCATCAAGGATCTCTCTGTACTTTGCTCCGTTCATCTTTCCCTTGATGCTGACTAGTCTCCCAGTTCCTGCTGCTGAAAAAATCCCCACAGCATGATGCTGCCACCACCATGCTTCACTGTAGGGATGGTATTAGCCAGGTGATGAGAGGTGCCTGGTTTCCTCCAGATGTGACGCTTGGCATTCAGACCAAAGAGTTCAATCTTGGTTTCATCAGACCAGAGAATCTTGTTTCTCATGGTCTGAGAGTCCTTTAGGTGCCTTCTGGCAAACTCCAAGCGGGCTGTCATGTGCCTTTTACTGAGTAGAGGCTTCCGTCTGGCCACTCCCTACCATAAAGGCTTGATTGGTGGAGTGCTGCAGAGACGGTTGTCCTTCTGGAAGTTTCTCCCATCTCCACAGAGGAACGCTGGAGCTCTGTCAGAGTGACCATCGGGTTCTTGGTCACCTCCCTGACCAAGGCCCTTCTCCCTCGATTGCTCAGTTTGGCTGGGCGGCCAGCTCTAGGAAGAGTCCAGGTGGTTCCAAACTTCTTTCATTTACGAATGATGGAGACCACTGTGCTCTTCGGGACCTTCAATGCTGCAGAAATGTTTTTGTAGATCTGTGCCTCGATACTATCCTGTCTCGGAGGTCTATAGACAGTTCCTTTGACTTCATGGCTTGGTTTCTGCTCTGACATGCACTGTCAACAGTGGAACCTTATATAGACACGTGTGTGCCTTTCCAAATCATGTCCAATCAATTGGATTTACTACAGGTAGTATCCAATCAAGTTGTAGAAACATCTCAAGGATGATCAGTGGACACAGGATGCACCTAAGCTCACTTTTGAGTGTCATAGCAAAGGGTGTGAATACTTATGTACATGCGATATTTCAGTTTTTTATTTTTAATAAATTTGCAAGAATTTCTAAAAAACCTTTTTCGCTTTGTCATTATGGGGTATTGTGTGTAGATTGATGAGGAAAAAAAGGAATTTAATCCATTTTGGAATAAGGCTGTAAGATAACAAAATGTGGGAAAAGTGAAGGGGTGTGAATACTTTCCGGATGCACTGTATATACTGTAAATGGGAGATTGGGTCAGTGTTGGAATATCTCCACTATGTGTCATATTCTATTCTATTCTGT